TCGGAACTTTGATGTTAAGATGGAATTGATGACCGCCTTGCAGTGCTTTTCTCATTCAGGTATATGTCAGGACCAGATCGACTAGAAATTTTTCTATCATGACCTATAAATCGGCCATAAATACGTTATATATAGCTATACAATGCATGACAGATATTGATCTACCAGACTTTGATCAATATTTATGAGAATTTTATATTTTCAATATTTTTGCTTCACTGGTTGTCATGCAGTAATCACCAGCTGGAGCATATTAATCGGTTAACGAGAATCACACCGTTTGTACCGGGTGGAAAACGAAATTCGAGAATTAATATTTGCGACAAGTAATTAGCGGTAAAGTGTAAATATATTTATAGCAGTTATTCTCTGCCTTCTCGACAATAACTTCAGAGAATCAGGCAAGGTGAACGATGCGCGCTCAGAATATCTACTGACCCATGACCTCGGGCTATTGTCCTGTCCCTCCTTGTTTTGCCCTTATGAAGGTGGTGTGATCACTGTGATGTATCACAAGTATCTTTACAACAAGTTGTTAAATTTTGTTTCGTTTGCAGCATATTGAAAGTTTTGTTCGTTCATTTTGTCTATTTAGCAATAAATTGTGATGATATGTTGCCTGCTGGAGCTGCTCGTATCGTTTGTAGTGGTTTGGCTGATTCCCACGAAACTGGAAGGTAAAACTACATTGTACTTTGTTGAGAATAAGATACTTACGTGATTTCGCGTTAGTATCGTATATAGGGTATAACTAAAAGAGAGTTTACCAGAAAATCAAACCAGAAACGACCACACCCAATTTCATAACCTTTCCAATATAAAAAATTATGCGAGAGAAGCATTTTTGCACCTTAGTCTCGTTATGGATATTATAATAATAAACTTGTTTTTGCATTAACGGTTACAGCCGATTGTCAATGGCAAGAGCCGCACGACGTTCGTGTTTCGTGCCGTCTGACCTCTAAGATTCGGACTAAATTTTTACGAAATTTCAACTTCAGTTAAATCTAAAAAAATCAGTCATGAATTTTTCAAGTGATTTTGTTATTTTGTCGTCTCCACCATCCAGGGGTATGTTTTTGTCTGTCGACATTCTGTGGAACATGTTGCATAATGGATCCAAAATAAACGTAAGCTTGAATTGTAACTGATTTGTGAGTATTAAAGTTCCACTGATATTTCAATAATGACTGTTAAATTTAATAAATTATAGATCGCACAGCAGTTAGATTGTCATGACTGCATCAGGTATGAAATTTGTCCTGGTATATTGTATAGAGTTTAGTTTCTTGTACAAGCTGTATGTACGTGGAAGTCCTTGGACTCGGAGATAGACTGTGCACAGACAGTCATTGGTATGTCAGCCCAACGCTCCGTTTTCAGGCTGACATCAAGTCAACTTATGTTCTTACAAAACTTGAAAGTATTGGAATTGGAACATCCTCGTACCAGGTGGCCGTGGCGCCAGAGTGTGAGAGAAAATAGCCTGGGTACGAGGTTGAGCCTTGCAAGTCCTTGAAAGAAGTAATTATAGGTAAACTACGTCCAATTCTTAACTTGATTGCAATTTTCCGCATTACCTTTGCAAATATGAAAAATGCCCTTGCAAATTCCATGAGGGAATCTGCAATGTTCCTAAAAGCCAATTAAATTTTGCTCAATTCCTGTTATACGTTCTTACACTTCCTGTTCTGTTACGTGCATTGTAATTTGCTAACAAAAATAATCCACCAATGACAACGCTCAGAACCAGGGACGCCGAGAGCTTGGCGGGGGCCCGGGGCAAAAAATTTTTAGGGCCCCCTATTGCAAAAAAATTTTCCGGAAAAAAATTTTTCGGACAATAAATTCTTTTTAGGTGCGTTATAATTGCTTTCGTTAGACTTTTCCGCAATTTTCCATACCAAATTTTGGTTCATTGCCCCCCAAACACAAATATTTTGGCCCGAAAACAGAAATATTTCGCCCGAAAAAATGACTGGGGCCCATTAAATTTCTAACATTAAATTTCTAGGGGCCCCCAGAGCCTCGGGGCCCGGGGCAATTTGCCCCCCCCCCCCCTGCCCAACCCCCCCTCTCGGCGGCCCTGCTCAGAACACGAAGTCAGAAATTAAAACAGGAAGTTAGGAAAATCTGAAAGGAAGTTTCTCTGCATTGGAATACTGCAACAGTTGATAGGAACATTGCAAATTCTCTCAAGGGATTTGCAAGGGAGTTTTTAAAATTTGCAAAGGTAATGAGGAAAATTGCAATCAAGGTAGAAACTCAAAAGAGGAACGCTTGACGTAGTTTACCTGCAAATGTTCGTAAATTGTTCTTGCTTTAGTTTTTGGAAAAACGGATATTTTGTTTAATTGATTTGTTCATGTCTTAATTAAAGTGTTTATGATTTCTAACTTTTCAGGCCTTTAGTCTTTGAATTTTCTGATCCATGAACTTGAAAGTTGTGAATTTTACTCTTCCTGACCTGTACGAATCCTGCAGCTAGTAATATATTACTTAATATATTACTAATAATAAAAAACACAAACGAAAAAGAAACACAATTGATAACTATAACTCAACGAAGCCGTGAACATAATAATTTGTGCATAATATGTGGTTATGGTATTATACAGTTTTCTCAATATTTTAGAGCTCTCAACAACGCATTCACATATCTCATAACGAAAGGATATAGTCAAGCTGATAAACAACTAAGGTATTGTTCTTTAGCCCTTGAATGTAACCAGGTTATGGTCCTGCAAATTGAAGGATTCTGCAACTTTATTTTTTGAAAGAAAAAAAGGGAAGGACATGGAACGTTCTGCCATGTCAAACGCTGAGAAAGCTTTCTTCCTTCTATCTATCTGCCCATCCTACTTTCCTTCGTTCCTTCCATCTTTGTAATTTGTTCTTTTTTATGATTTTATAATGTATACAATGTTATACATATTATAAGTAATACTAATTAACTTAATCATTCTAATGTGAGTGGCAAATCTGTATAAATAAATTAATTAATTAATAATGGTATTTAATTTGTACAATTTAAATGTATTTTTTAGAAATGATATTTTAGTCATAGCGATCCTGATTGCACAATGTCGTCCAACTGCGCCATTTGTGGTAGGAGATTGAAGTTTTCTCTGATATAGCAGTGTTCTTTATTTTAAAATATTAATGTTTTAAAATTTAACACTTTAAATAGTTTAAAGGACTCTAAAGCCTATATTTCTTTTGTATTTCTAGGAAACTGGTTTCACCGACCTTGTGGCATTATGTTGTACATATACGGAAGGTATAGACATTTTCCATTTGTTTCAGTGTTGAAACCCGTACTGACAGAGCAAATTGTGCTGTTTTAACGCCGGGTGGCAATAGAGGCCATAATTTTAACGAAGCAATGAGTATATCAACGAGGAAATTTAAGTGGTGGACTCGTACAGGACTTGACCTGAATTCCCAAGTCCAGAGGTGTCAAGTCCGAGGCCTGCAAGCCTCGAGTTCTTTGATATCGAGTCGAAGTCCGATGTGTTCAAGTCCGAATCATACCCTAGCTCATAGCCTATCGAAGGGAAGATGGCTGTGAAACTCATTAGAATAACAATATAACTCATTATCTATGTTAGTCAACGTTTATTCATAAATCTGGTCGTTTCACCGTCACGTGTGTATTGTATTTTTACAAAATCCTCAAATAGCAATTTCCCGTTTCCCTATTGTTCGAGTCACGGATAGGTGACTTTCCTAAAACATTGCTGTTGGTTAGTTGGGCAAGAATACAATACACACGTGACGGTGAAGGACCAGATTTATGAATAAACGTTGACCAACATAGATCGATAATGAGTTATATTGTTATTCTAATGAGTTTCACAGCCATCTCCCCTTCGATAGGCTATGCCTAGCTCAAGTCCGGACTCGAGTCCTACAACACTGATTTGTTTAGACACTCATTCATATTCATTAGGCAAATTGTCCTATAATATGTTTGATCACGTGTTGGCGTTTTATTAAGTGCTAATATTTTGCCTGCTTAATTGCTATCCCAGGATAAACATGGGTCTATTCATTCATA